ATTGTTCATTTCCTATGTTAACTTAAGGAGAGTAATTAGTCCTCCTAGTCTAGTACACACAATCAGAAAATCGTACAAAAAATACAGGCTTCAAAGCGATCGTATGATAATCTGAATGTTAGTACACAGCTTTTGTCCGAAATTATTCGAAGGGACAAGCATGAAAACTTTTTTTGTACAATACCAGATCAAATAATTTTCATTTAATCATTGCAGTTTTTGTCCAAAAAGACAATACAAAAAAATTACAATACATAACATCACTTCAGAATTTTTATTCTATCCTATGAGAATTTTTGTAGCTTTAGTAACCTTTTTATCATCGATATGAGACTAGCATGCAAAAAAACCCTGACGATCATTCTTCCAATGCTCATCGTGTGTACTGGTCCATTCACACCAGATGCGGTGGGACCGCGCTGGACGGTTATTGCAGCACAGACCCACCACATGGCAAGGTAAAATCTCCTGTGTGCCAGGTTCACACTATTGTGTTGCAGCTGTATGCAACATGATGTGCTTAAAAAAGTAGTGCATACGCTACTTTCCTTCAGCGGTTCGCAACGTGAGGCACTACCTCACATGGTGCAGCGGCCAACTGAAAGTTTGTGTGACATTTCAATAAAGTTCCTTTAAAAAATAGTAGTGCGGTACAGTGCACTGATCCTGCCAAACCGCAACACACACCAGTCATTGCGTTATAATGCAGCGGCTGGTGTGAATGGACCCTTGTCCTGGGACTACAGAATGGTTAGGTTTTATGTTGTTGTTGTGATGGGAGAATGGGTAGGTCTGAGTAGACAAAGGATAACTAGGCAGGGCTGCCAACACACAGTTGTCAAAAATGCTGTGTGTTGTCAGCCAATAATCTCCTGTTAGGAGCCGAGTGCATTTCTGGCAGATCAACTGGTATTTTTCTATGCTTGCAGGATATTTAAAGGGATAAAGGGCCAACACAGTGGCTAAATGGTTACCACTACTTGGGTAATTGGTTCAAATCTCAACCATGGCACCACCTGCCTGGAGTTTGCATGTTCTCCCTGTGCCTGCATGGGTTTCCTCCGGGTGCTCAGGTATCCTTCCACAGTCTAAATTGGCCCTAGTATGTGTATATATGAATGTACATTAGGGACCTTAGATTGTCTAAATTGGCCCTAGTATGTGTATATATGAATGTAAGTTAGGGACTTTAGATTGTCTCAATTGGCCCTAGTATGTGTATGTATGAATGTAAGTTAGGGACTTTAGATTATCTAAATTGGTCCTAGTATGTGTATGTATGAATGTAAGTTAGGGACTTTAGATTGTCTAAACTGACCCTAGTATGTGTATGTATGAATGTAAGTTAGGGACTTTAGATTGTCTCAATTGGCCCTAGTATGTGTATGTATTAATCTAAGTTAGGGACTTTAGATTGTCTAAATTGACCCTAGTATGTGTATGTATTAATGTAAGTTAGGGACGTTAGATTGTCTAAATTGGCCCTAGTATGTGTATGTATGAATGTAAGTTAGGGATGTTAGATTGTCTAAATTGGCCCTAGTATGTGTATGTATGAATGTAAGTTAGGGACTTTAGATTGTCTCAATTGGCCCTAGTATGTGTATGTATGAATGTAAGTTAGGGACCTTTAGATTATCTAAATTGGTCCTAGTATGTGTATGTATGTATTAATGTAAGTTAGGGACTTTAGATTGTCCAATTGGCCCTAGTATGTGTATGTATGAATGTAAGTTAGGGACTTTATATTGTCTAAATTGGCCCTAGTATGTGTGTATGTATGAATGTAAGTTAGGGACCTTAGATTGGCTAAATTGGCGCTAGTATGTGTATATATGAATGTAAGTTAGGGACCTTAGATTGGCTAAATTGGCCCTAGTATGTGTATGTATGTATGAATGTAAGTTAGGGACTTTAGATTGTCTAAACTGGCCCTAGTATGTGTATGTATGAATGTAAGTTAGGGACTTTAGATTGTCTAAATTGGCCCTAGTATGTGTATGTATGAATGTGTAAGTTAGGGACTTTAGATTGTCTAAATTGGCCTAGTATGTGTATGTATGTATGAATGTAAGTTAGGGACTTTAGATTGTCTAAATTGGTCCTAGTATGTGTATGTATTAATGTAAGTTAGGGACTTTAGATTGTCTCAATTGGCCCTAGTATGTGTATGTATGAATGTAAGTTAGGGACTTTATATTGTCTAAATTGGCCCTAGTATGTGTATGTATGAATGTAAGTTAGGGACCTTAGATTGGCTAAATTGGCCCTAGTATGTGTATGTATGTATGAATGTAAGCTAGGGACTTTAGATTGTCTAAACTGGCCCTAGTATGTGTATGTATGAATGTAAGTTAGGGACTTTAGATTGTCTAAATTGGCCCTAGTATGTGTATGTATGTAAGTTAGGGACTTTAGATTGTCTAAATTGGCCGTAGTATGTGTATGTATGAATGTAAGTTAGGGACTTTAGATTGTCTAAATTGGCCCTAGTATGTGTATGTATGTATGTAAGTTAGGGACCTTAGATTGTCTAAATTGCCCTAGTATGTGTATGTATGAATGTGTGTTAGGGACTATAGATTATACACCCCTTGAGGGTTAGGAACTGATGTGAATGTACAATATATATGTAAAGTGCTGTGTAAATTGATGGCACTATATAATTACCTGTAATAAATAAATAGATAAAACATGGGAAATGTGCATGTATTGCATAGCTTTTTTGCCATAACATATACTTTAAGGAGCATAATCTGTATGTATATTGTCTGCTTTTCTACAACTACTATGATCCGAAACCAGAGCTAAACAAAATCGACATTCTGGGTGTTAACAATTCTGCGGTATTAAAAGAGGAAATGTCTATTCAAGGTGACAAGTGCACTTTAATCATCATGAGTACGGACAGTTGAACATATGTGTCTGAGACTACTACAAGAATGTCCTTCAGTTTTCAGCAGTGCCAGCTTGAATTTTATTTACAGATTTCCCTTCCATAAAAAAAGGGAAAACAAGAATTCAGGTCACATTTCTGGAACACATGAAAAGCTCAGTGTAGTGCTCTGACAAATTGCCCAGACAGGAAGATAGTACGTAATGATTCTCCGGCACAGAAAACACAGACTGTATGAAGGAATAATAGGAGACAATATTCTAATTGCCACATCTTGTCAGCGCAGAAACAAAACGGAAGGAAAATGACACAGGTCCGTTTGGAATAACGAGTCTACAGCTCGTCCTCTCGCAGCTAAATGTGCTGTTTATCTTTTTTTTTTTTAACCACATCCACGCTAGACACTTGGTGGATACAATAAATGGTATGCAGCACAATTCTGCATTAAATACCAATTATGCCTGTGCCATGGCTCACATTCTCCAGCTGTAATAATACAACAGAGATTAAATGACACCACTGGAAACCCTCGCGGTGTAAGTGAGCTTGCAGCATCAGTCATGGTTACTGGAGCATTATTTGCCAGCAGATTATCAGCCAGCTTCAGGTATGCAATCCATTTTCCTGGATACTGCTGTGTAATGAAACCGTTCATTGAGCAGCGGCACGGTCAGTTGAACATTTAATGTCAGATTACACTGTCAACCAGCACAATGGCAGTTCTGCTCGGGATAATCCTAGTTCTCCTCATTTACCCCTTGCATCAAGAAACCCTTTGTTATGCTGTTATTCAATTATATAAGCAAGTGTATAGGAGTCATGCTTCAGCATGAGGGCACTTGTAACAGTAAGAGATCGGGGGTGAAAATGATCATTAGTCCCAGATGGATAAAGTCCTTAACAAAATGTGTTTATTGATAGAACAAGTGTTCTTGGTTTAGCAGTAATGATGTTTGTTTTGGGTCACAAAATATGATTTGTGTTTGCTGCAAGAACAAAAATATATTGCATTCGGGAGTACAAAATATTTCTTTTTAATTTTTCTTTAATCCAAAATAATTATTATTAGTATAAGCAAAAACAAAGAAGTTTAATTATTATTAAAGTGAACCTGTGCTACGCAGAGCAAAACAACAGGTTCACACAACTTCTCTCCTTCAGAGCTGCACATTGACTCCCCTAACAAAGTGAAATACCAAATACTACGGAGTATGGGGCAGAATATGGCTCTGCCACCTTCCACATGACAGTTCTGATGCTTAGTGACTGGCCCAGAATTGCCACTTCAAAGATCCTTGCCCTGTGTAAGCTTCAAATTGCCAACTGTCTTATTAAAGGGACGTGGACATTTTTTTTAAAAACAACTTGTCCAAGGACAAAATTGGTGTCTCAATCTACTTGTCCCTCAGGACAATCTACTTGTCCCTCATGACAATCTACTTGTAGCCTCATGAAAATCTACTTGTCCCTCATGACAATCTACTTGTAGCCTCATGACAATCTACTTGACAATCTACCCTCATGACAATCTACTTGTAGCCTCATGACAATCTACTTGTCCCTCATGACAATCTACTTGTCCACGTAAAAAAAATTTAACCAAAACCTTACTTAAATGTGAGGTGCCTTTAGGAATGTCTGGGGTTTTTAAAAATGAAAGGGACTTTATGGCGACTTAAACTCATGTTTTTAACCACTTGCCCTCAGGTGGATTTACCCCCCTGCCTGACCAGGCCGTTTTTTTGCGATACGGCACTGCATTACTTTAACTGACAATTTCATGCTCATGCAACGCTGTACTCAAATGAAATTTATGTCCTTTTTTCCCCACAAATAGAGCTTTCTTTCGGTGGTATTGGATCTCCACTGCGTTTGTTTTTTTTGTGCTATAAAAAAAAAGACTGCCAATTTTGAGAAAAAAAACATATTTCTTACTTTTCGCTATTAAACATGTCCAGTAAAAAATTTTAAAAATCGAATTTCATCATAAATTTAGGCCAGAATGTATTCTGCTACATGTCTGCTAAAAAAAATCCCAATATGTGTAAATTAATTGGTTTACGTGAAAGTTATAGCATCTACAAATGGAGTTAAATATACTGGATTTTTTTTTATACTAGTAATGGCGGCGATCAGTGACTTATAGCGGGACTGTGGCGGGCATTCTGACACTGGGGGGGGGGGAGACTAACTGTCACTGACATCCCCATGGACACCAATACAGTGATCAGTGCTAATAAAAAGCACTGACTCTGTACTAGTGACACTGGGCAGGAAGGGGTTACCATCCTCGGCGATCAAAGGGTTAAAGGTTAAAAAAAACTACTTGTCTGGTGCCCGGAACTACATGTCCTGGGCATCGGGCAATATAAATTTTACATAGCTGCTTATTATCATTATTATTATTATAATACAGGATTTATAGTGCACCAACAGTTTACGCAGCACTTTACAACATAAGGGCGGACAGTACAATTACAATACAATGTAATACAGTAGAAATCAAAGGGCCCTGCTCGTTAGAGCTTACAATCAAAAGAGAGAGTCAAGAGATATAAAAAGTAATAACTGTGGGGGATGAGCTGATAGAAAAAATAAAAGTACAGTTGTTAGATGGGGGCAGGGTAGGTCTCTCTGAAGAGATGGGTTTTCAGGGATTGTCTAAAAGTGGACAGAGTAGGAGATAGTTGGACAGACTGAGGTAGGGAGTTCCATTGAATGGGAGAGGCTAGAGAGAAGTCCTGGAGGTAAGCTTGGGGGGAGGAGGTGACAAGGGGGCAAAAGAGTAGGAGGTCTTTGGAGGAGTGAAGAGACCGATTAGGTTTTATCTTGAGACTAAGTGATGTAGCTGGGGGCAGAGTTGTGGATGACTTTGTAAGTTGTTGTTAGTCTGATCTGACACAACAGCTGCTGTGCCCTCTAGTAGACAGAGACCAGTACATTCATGGTGGAAAACCTGATTGTGACAACAATGAGGTCTGATGGTCACCAAACTGAGAGAATGAGTGAGTACATCCTCTTTCAAAAATTCATAAGGGTCAGCTGAATTGGGTCAGCAACCAAAATCTCAGATTGAACAGTTATCTCAAGACACAAAGCAGGCCATCATAAATTTTGTTTAGTCAGGATCTGCAAGTCCTATCAAAAAAAGAGTTGTTAAATATTCCTTAGGCTGGTATTTTGTGAACGGCTAATTGGATGTTGTTAAATCCAAAAGAGGATACCTGTCAATCCATAACAATAAGCAAAGACTGTTCCTAGAAGGCTAATGGACATCATAACAGCAGTTAGTGGAGGCTGTGAAACCAGACACTTTTATACAGCTGCCGTAAAACCATTTTGGAGAATATACATTCACAGCCTGGCTCACTTGACCTGAAAATGCCATCTTTCAAACTCCCATAATCCATAAGTCTTTATCTGATAAAATCATGGTAATAACAAGTGTCCAACCAACTGTAAAAGCAAATCTGGATTTATTTGATACTACACATGCATAGGGCTACAATGTACACCTGACAATGGGTCACATTAACTTTCCTAAATGAGATAGGAACCACATCACATTTAGTCTCTATTAATCACTTGCCCTCCAGAGGATTTACTCCCCTTCCTGACCAGGCCATTTTTTTGCGATACGGCGCTTTGTTACTTTAACTGACAACTGGATGGTCATGCAACGCTGTACATAAATGCAATTTATGTCCTTTTTATCCCTTTATTTCGGTGTTATTTGATCACCTGTGTGGTTTTTATTTTTTGCGCTATAAAGAAAAAAAGACCGACACTTTTGAAAAAAAAAACCAAAAACAATATTTTTTACTTTTTGCTATAAAACATCCAGAAAAAAATTTTAAAGATCAAATTTCTTCATAAATTTAGGCCAAAATGTATTCTGCTACATGTCTATGCTAAAAAAAATTCCAGTAAATGTAAATTAATTGGTTTACATGCAAATTATAGTGTCTACAAATGGGGGTACATATACTGTAATTTTTTTTTATACTAGTAATGGTGGCATTCTGACACTGGGAGGGAACTGACTAACTTGCCACTGACATCCCCAGTGACACTAATACAGTAATCAGTGCTAATAAAAATCACTCACACTGTACTAATGACACTGGGCAGGAAGGGGTTAACATCTGGGGCGATCAAAGGGTTAACTGTGTGCTGTTTTACTAAGTGTGCTGTGTGTGTTTTACTTGGGAAACATACTGCTGTGTATTTCTCTGCTGTGCAGAAAAATACACAGCAGCATGTTACTTCTGGCAGGAGAGAGACCTGTGTTGTTTACACACAAGTCTCTCCCCTATGAGTGATACTCAGTGATCGCTGTGTGCCGGCAGGGAATCTCTGGCCGGGACCTTATGATCAACATCTGTAGCCACCAATGGCAGCGAGGGTAGGGCAGCGCGTGCCCCCTACCTGGAAATGCAAAATCATGTATATATATACGTGATTTTGTGCAGCCCTGCCGCGGCAGTTCTGCTATAGGGCGGTGGGGACGCGGTTAAACTATGATTTTGCTGGTGGCTGTCAGACTGTAAAATATGTGCCTGGGGAAATATTGATGTTTTTGTGACATTAAAAGAGAAGCCAATGCAGTATAATAAACACTCTTGTCCTCTTACATCACACCCCTTAGCCCTTCTGACTGGGTAAGGTTAACTCGGTGGCACCCTATAGAGGGTTCAAAAAAGCTACTGCAATTGGCAGCTCTCATTTTTCCATGGAAACTACACATGAATGATAAAAAACATCTGAGGGCCAATACCTCTGATACTGTATATCAGGTAGGACTTAAGCTGACTCTGCTGGAGCCACAGATCAGGCAAAATACATTGTGCTTTTACTTCTATTTGTTTTAAATGTTTTTTCTGTTTTTGTTATATCTTTTTCAGTAAATAGTTTTGCTATTTACTCAAACAATCCTTGATCTCTGATGAATTTTCCCATAATTTAATGTCTGTCACATCCCTGTCTGGCATGACAGTGTGTATTACAGATGTTTCATAAAAATGTAGAATTGCTACAGTAGATAATGTGAATGTTGCATGTTACCATGAAACACACATGGTGGCAGCTATTATTAAGTAGGCAGAAGTTTAAGGCTGCTTTCACACTGGTCTGTTTATTTTTCCGCTTTTGCGTTTAAAAAAAACAGAAGAAAAATGTGTGACCATGTATTCCTACAGAACTCTTCACACTGATCTTTTGCGGGTCCGATGAGTTTTTTAAAATCCTGCCTGCTGTATTTTTGGTGCCGTAAATAAAACCACACCAAAAAAGAACCTGCTCATTGGAAAATGCTGCAAAAACACAGAAAAAATGCATCCATAACACACCCACATTGCGTTTTTGGTGCGGATCTTGAGTTACATTTCCTGTAAAAGACACACTGTAAATGCTGTAAAAACACATAAAAATGCATATACTTTGTTGTCTTGTGGGCTGTAAAATCTCTGTGCAAGGTGAGGCTGAGAGTTCTATTGTGACATATTGGTGGCAGCAGTGGGATAGAAAGACTAACATTATCAAACTTTTCAACCAAATCCAAACTCAGGACTGACTACGAAAAACCCTCTACACAGTTCAATAGTGGCAGACAGTGCACAAATATGTGTATACGTGAGTGTATGCAAGGCAGCCTTATTGGCTCATTTGGCATTCTTATCGTCTTCCACCTGCACTTTTTTTTTTTTTTTTTTTAACATCCACTTTGTCCAGAATGAAATACAATTATTCTGGTGATTATGTTTTCTGTTATCTACAATTGGAAGCAAATTAGCTCATTTAAATTAGATGCGAGCCTTACTTGAATGACATTTAGTTTGTTAACGTGCTTTGTACCACCAACAATTGCTTTATGTTTAATATCTGATTTCAATGTTTTATCCTTTTGTTGGATCCCTGCGCTGTTGATCTCTTAATGGCTCTTCCTATCTATATACATGCACTACAGCTGAATGTCTTTTTAGCTTGGGGAAGGGGGGTAATCCTGATGGCAGTAGTAGTGGCTCATACCTTCATAATGTGTGTTAGTCCTCATGCACACTGGACATTTTTACAACTGCTAATTTTGGCTTTTGATGTTTTTTTCTACAGCCAGTAAACTCCCCAGCATGTTATCCTTTGTGTCCATGCACACATAGACTGTAATCAACGTTTTTTGGCAGGGATGTTTTTTGGCTGGAAAAAAACCCAGGACTAGTGGGTTTCTAGAGGAGTTTTTTAGCTGTACAAACGCTCTAATGCTGAAAAACACGGCAAAACATGATAAACACGATAAAACGCCACAAACTGGCATTTTTGGACCCCCCTATTTTTTTTTTTGTAAAAAAACAATGCTAAAAAACACAATCGCAGGAAAACACTGCTAAATGAGGCAAAACACTGCTAAACGCTAATGCAAAAACGCTAAAAAAAAGTTGAAAAACTCACATATTTAACGTGACTTTATAGAGCTAACGTTACCTGCGTTATCAAAACGCCCCGTGTGCATGCAGCTTAAAAATGACCACTAGTAGTATCCACTGGAAGCGCATTTGACCAGGTGCAAATGCAGGAGGAGCACAGCTGGGAGACAGGGATACAAGTGCCGTCACCCTTTAAAAAAAGAACTTGACCTTCCCTGCATGTTCACCGTGGATTATTATAATGAAAGCTGCAGATTTAAAAATACTGAAAATGATTTTGCAAGGACAATATCATATAAACACTTTGAATACGATTTTACATCTATTTGAAAGTAAATTTCTTGCAAAATTGAGCAATTTGTTTTGAGCAAGTAAAAAAAACACACAACCAAAGGTTTTTTCTGACAAGCCACAGCCTGATTATGTATAGGAACCTAGCAGAAGAAACTGTGTAAGTATGATCCAGTTACCTTTCCGTAATAGCTTAACACTTGGGGCATATGGACTGAAACATTTGAGCTCAAAGTTTGTCATGGAGATTCCCTGAATCAATAAAATGCTTAAAATGCAGTTATTTGAAGAAAAGCCTGGAGTGTCTTTGTTGTATCTGTTAAGACTAGATTCCATAAAGTGTAAGCAAATGATAGTTGTTTTGAACCCTGCATTTATTTACCATCTAAACCTCTGTGGAGTCTCAAGGTCTGGCTGATAGAGAAGATTAGTTATGAGGGAGGTAAGAAGTAATTGTAGAGATATGAGCCCTCCTGAGTATTAAGGCTCCATGCACACGGGGCGTTTTGATAACGCTGGTAACGTTAGCTGTGTAAAGACACATTAAAAACGTGAGTTTTTCAGCATTTTTGCATTAGCATTTACCGGCATTTAGCAGCGTTTTCTCAAATTTTTTCCGCGTTTGCGTTTTTTAGCGGTTTTTGTAAAAAAAAGTCTAAAAATGCCAGTTTGCAGCATTTTACCGTGTTTTTTAACATTAGAGCGTTTTTACAGCTAAAAACTCCTCTAGAAACCCACTAGTCCTGGGGTTTTTTCCAGCCAAAAAACGTTGATTACAGTCTGTGTGTTCATGGATACATAGGATAACATGCTGGGGAGTTCACTGACTGTAGAAACAATGTCAAAAGCCAAAAACAGCAGCTGTAAAAACGTCCAGTGTGTATGAGGACTTAATATTAACTTACAGTTTTAAAGTGGACGTAAACTCCCACTGGACAATTGTACTAAAGTTTACCTGTAGGTACAAGGAATATCTCCTAAACATGCACCATTTAGAAGATATTCAGTGTCCCTGCAGTTGATGATGTCACCGGCGCATGCGCTCTGAAGGAACGCCAGGGGAGCTCTGTGCCGCAGCCGAGATTCCTGTGTGCGCATTCGTGGGAGCGACGTCATCCCGACTCAGCCAATCAAGCGGCCAGAGCCCGTGAACCCGTCAGGAAGACTGGGTGAAGATGGAAGCTCTGTGCCGCGGCCGAGACTCCTGCGCACATTCGCAGGAGCGACGTCATCACTACTCAGTCAATCAAGCGGCCAGAGCCCATGAACCCGGAAGGAAGACTGGGTGAAGATGGAAGCTCTGTGCCACCGCCGAGAATCCTGCGCACATTCGCGGGAGCGATGTCATCACATTTTAGCCAATCAAGTGGCCAGAGCCGTGAACCCGGAAGGAAGACTGGGTGAAGATGGAAGCTCTGTGCCGTGGCCGAGACTCCTGCGCACATTCGCAGGAGCAACGTCATCACTGCTCAGTCAATCAAGCGGCCACAGCCCATGAACCCGGAAGGAAGACTGGGTGAAGATGGAAGCTCTGTGCCACGACCGAGAATCCTGCGCACATTCGCGGGAGCGATGTCATCACGACTCAGCCAATCAAGTGGCCAGAGCCCATGAACCCAGAAGGAAGACTGGGTGAAGATGGAAGCTCTGTGCCACAGCTGAGAACCCTGTGCACATTCGCGGGAGCGACATCATCCCTACTCGGTCAATCAAGCGGCCAGAGCCTGTGAACCTGGAAGGAAGACTGGGTGAAGATGGAAGCTCTGTGCCGCGGCCGAACTCCTGCGCACTTTTGTGGGAGCGACGGTCATCAGACTCGGTCAATCAAGCGGCCAGAGCCCATGAACCCGGAAGGAAGACTGGGTGAAGATGGAAGCTCTGTGCCACGGATGAGAATCATGCGCACATTTGCGGGAGCGATGTCATCACGATTCAGTCAATCAAGCAGCCGGAGTCCGTGAACCCGGAAGGAAGACTGGGTGAAGATGGAAGCTCTGTGCCACGGCCGAGACTCCTGAGCACATTGCAGGAGCGACATCATCACGACTCAGCCAATCAAGCGGCCACAGCCCATGAACCCGGAAGGAAGACTGGGTAAAGATGGAATCTCTGTCAGCGGTGATAGCACGCTCATAGGGGGCTCATAGGGGACTTAATTCTAAGGTAAGTTTTTCATAATGTGTCACATTATGACATTATTTTGCAGGGGATTTTTTTTTTTGGGCGGTTTACTACCGATTTAAGAAGTGACTAATGATCAAGCTATTAATGCATTACCTGCAGTCTGGAGAAATCTATATCAGAGTTGATAGTAGAGCAGAGCTGCAGGCTTCCAGGGTAACCTAATGAGGGCTTTCCTAACAAGTGAAGCACATCTGTAGTTCCAACATTTGAGTTATATAATAATATTTTCTGATATATGGCACACCATGCCCTGTTCAAATCTGCGCTACAGCATAATTCCAGGCAACTTAAATCTTTTGGTGTTCAGAATAAATAGTTTTCTGCAATATTCATAATTTGTATTTGTACAGAGGTGTGCGATACTTTAAAATAACTAAAACATTT